GGGGGGTCTGTGTGGAGGTGTTGAATACGTGGAAAGGGGGTCGTTAGGGGGAGTTGTTGTGTGGTGCATTGGTTCACCGTGGGACGGTCGTTTTGGGGGGCCCAGTGGTGGACGATGGTTCACCGTGTAAGGGTCCTTTTGGGGGGGGAAAGGGGGGGGTTGTGTGTTGTGTGGTGCATTGGTTCACCGTGTGAGGGCCCAGGGACTTCAAACAATAACAATTACAAACGGTTTTCAAAAGCATTGACTCATTGAAGATCATGTGGGAGTGACAATCGTTGCTGAAATTTAGAAAGTACAACATTACAGGGCAACATAACAACAACACGAAACAACTGCACCATACATACACAACCATAAATGAAACATGAAGATTGAACTCAATCAAATAATGTGCGAATACAATGTGCAATCGTCTGAAACATCGATAACAAAGTAGAAGGAAAACAAAAACAATGCAAGCGCTGCAGATGTTGCGCCCATGTCTGAATATAGAGTGCAATGCTCTGAAACATCGATGCAAAAATAAAACGAAAAAGAAACAACAATCTGCACCTACTGCACTTGTATATGGACAACTGTGCAGTAGTCTAACCATCTGTACAAATACAAATCTAATAACACTACACCTATGAACACATCACGTCATCCGAAGCACTAAGTATAATATACACTACTAAGAAATACAGGGTGAAAGAGGACTAATGGTGGGACTAAACATCATCGTCGTCCACAATGTCCTTCCTCCTCCGCCGCGGCACCGCACCTCTGACACCGTCGTCGCCACCTGTGCCGCCTATCGGCCCGTGCGCAGTATCCGGAGCATGAACCCCCCTCTGTGGCGTCGCGTCAACCCCATGCTGTGCTCGAAGAAGGTCGTACACGGAAGCCCTCCTCCGCTGGCCACAAGGCATCTCCAAATCATCGGTACCAGACTCCAAAACGACTCCTGCCTGTGACGGTCGCTGCGTAGGCACCGTCCTCACATCCTCCCCTAATATACGTCCGGCCATGCTCCTCCCGGGGGGGCCGCTGTGCTCCGCCTCCTCCCCCCTACCTGTTGTGCGCCCCCCAGTACATGGCATCTCCGCCTCAGCAGGTGCTGTGATGGGCTGCTTCGTCGCCCGGCTGGAGCCTCTCTCCCACCAAACTACTATCTCCGCAACAACGTCCAGGGCCAATGCCTCCCGAGTCCGCGGATGTAAACCGGCTAGCCCGGCCTGAGTCTCCCGCATCGCATGCGTCACCCTCCTCACATTACTGAGACTCTTACCTGCTCTCATCTTCTTCTTCCGTGATTTGGGAGAAGGAGACTCTGCAGGTGCCGGTGATGTAATGCGTCCCGTGACTGGACCCTCAGCATGTACGGAGGTAGTGGCGCCAGTGGTTAACGATGGCAATGACGGGCTGCAGGGCACGTAAGTTGGGCGCTCTGCCATGAACCTCCTCGACGCCTCGTCCATCCGTCCGCGCCGATCTGCCTGCAATGGGTCCTCTCGTAGCTGCCGCTCCAACTCCTCCGCCGTCATGGCTCCACCGATAGGCAATATACAAACACCGTCAACCGTCGACGCGGGTCTCTCGCCTGCATCCCCGGCGCCCGCGCCTCCGCACTCAAGCACTGCATCGTCCGTCGCATGATGACCCTCACTACCGCCCGTCTCGAGCATCCACTCTGCCCGTGCCCTCAACGCAATACTCTGTGTCAGCTCGCAACGGCTAGCCAAGTCATGCGCCCTCTCCCTCTCCTCGCGGTCGATCCTGTCCTGCTCCGACCCTGGCGCTCGCTCCTGCTCAGGTCGACAATCCCCACCGTCCCCTGCTGCACACTCCTCCTGCCCCGACGAACACTGTGTCCCCGTTGCTGCCTCCTGCAACATGCTGCTACTGATGTCACCCATGCTGCATGAAGGTACATCCCAGAGTATCTGACTGACGGGCGTAGCCGCTGCGTCACCACTGCCACGCTCGCCTGCCAGTGTCGGAGGAGGCCCCAACGAAACATCAAGAATACCAGTGAAACTGACACCCAACTGCGCAGAAGCCCTCCCAACCTGCGCAGCCTCGCCAGCATCCTCTGCAAAGCCCCCTGCGACCTCCTCAGACGCCGCTGCGAACTCTCCAGCGGTCTCTCCAGCGGCCTCTGCAACGGCCTCTGCAGCGCCCTCTGCCGACGCAGTAGCAAACTCAGTCGACCCGGCGCCAACCTCTCCTGTCGCGGCACCCTCATCAACCCAGTGCACAGTACGAGTGGAGGATGCAGACTCTCGCCTCGCCCGTCCTCCGCCACCACGGCCTGCACCCCCTGTGTGTCCTGCGCCCCCCACATCCATGCCTGCACTACTGTTCCCCCTGCCTGCACCACTACATCGGTCGGCACGATGTCGACCCGACCTCCGCAAACCACCTGCAGCCTGTGTACCATCGCCGCCCTCGTCGTCGGCGTCGGCGTCGTCACCACGTCCGCGTCTCAGGGAATACGAGGGATCATCCTCGTCCTCACTACTGCCCTCGTACCTCTCTCTATCATCGTCGTCGTCGTCGTCTCGCTCGTCAACAATGTCGCGAGTCCCCGTCCCCTGCTCGCCATGTCCTGGACGATCTGTAGGTAGAGGGCGATGCTGCGTTTGAACACGGTGAACGCGCGTTCGCGGTGAACGCGCGTTCAAATGTGCGTTTGAACGCGGATTGCGCGTTCGCGTTCAAATGTGCGTTTGAATGCGCGTTCGCGTTCAAATGTGCGTTTGAACGAGCGTTCGCGTTCAAATGTGCGTTTGAACGCGCGTTCGCGTTCAAATGTGCGTTTGAACGCGGATTGCGCGTTCGCGTTCAAA